ACCACCTGACCCAACCGCCCACCTTGCTAGCGCGATCCCGCGATAACCGGTTGACCCCCAGGTGGGTTGGGTATAATAATAATAATAATTTATTTCTGACACCAAGGTTCAACACATGAACAAACTTACAGGTGTAGGAATGTCAATAATGAAGGATAAATGAAGTGGGGGGGTGACGAGGAGAGAGAAGAGAGGATGACTAGAAGATTAAGATAATACAGAATTGGTCGGAATATAATTTAAGAGGCTGCGTTTAAAGGTCTTATGATTGCGACCAGTAATTGTATGACTTGGTAGCGAGTTAAATTAGAAGTTTTAAAGAAGGGGGATTGTGTTACAGGGTCCACCCGTCTTCCCGCTCCTTTCATGTGGCCGCTAGGGTTATAATTGAGGCCGGTCGGGGATCGATGAGAGATCTTTTGGCATTGCAGGGGAGCCTGAAGGTAGAGGAGGGCGAGGGACACACCCCGAAGGTCAACCAAAACAATTTGTCACACCCACCCAGCCCCCGTGGGTGCCTACTAGATGGCAGACCGTTTTTATGGGATCGGGCAGCGGAGGGGCGGAGGGGATATTTTATGCGGGCTGAAGAAAAGATTGTTCGGAGGGTAACAAAGGTTTCGAGAACCATGCAAAAATCGAATTGTGCCTGGGGATCGTCCGTTTTGTCGTTAAGTCAAGTCCAACGTTCTATGGATTTTCACCTTAAAAGGCTTTTTAAAATAGTTGAAAAAGAGACAGAGACTATTTAAGACCTTAAAAGCAACCTTTTTCTTTCAGGTCAACCGCCGAGACATCGTCAACGCGTTCACCCATGATCAAGACCTAAATATGAAACTGAAAGATGCCTTCGTCAGCAACAAACTCTTCTACTCCAGAAACTACGGCCTGTTCAACATCTGCTTTGGCGACACCCTTCCAAATGGTTCGTATCAAGTGATTAGCCACTGGTTTCATTCCCGATTATTCCATCAAATTCACATTCCATTCCGGCTTTCACTTGGCATAATTCCGTGGGGGCAGATGAGATAAAATCTCGATCTGACGGCGACTCCCCGGGGCGATGATCTCGACTGATATACTAAATAGGGGGTCGGCCACAGCGGCGGAAACTTGCATCTATCGATTTAGGGTGGGCGGCGGTGCGAATAAAAAGGAATCTGTAGCTAGTAAAATTCTGAAAAACCTAGCAGAGATGTTTTGATTACTGCGTGAATATGCGGTCATAGCCGAAGTAGACATTTGAATACAAATATGTAATGCAGATACGGTCTCAAGCACGACCATCTAGGTATCGGCAGCTACAACAAACTCGGCGTCAACTGCATCACCTACAATGACTACTTCCCCCAGGACTCCGAGTCGATGCACTTCACGCAGGTACGGCACTCGAAGCGAACGAATTCTAGCACTTACTAATCTTTAACGAGGTAGTCTATAATTTTTTTTAGCTCCAAAATATCCGTCTGTGGCTGATGCGCGGCTTGGTGGTCTCCTTCGCCGTCGGGCTTCTGCTCCTCTTCATCTCGTTCGCTATCGGCGTGACGGCATGCTGGGGCCGTAGCCAGCGATACGTCACAACCACCGCTGTGGTTATGCTATTCTCCAGTAGGTTATTACGAAAAACCCTTGTTTTCGTTAAATCGGTGAAAAGAAATTGGATTTTTAGTGCTTTTCTTCTTCATCGGACTTGGTATCTGGCATTACGTCGATTTCATGGAACGCAATCATTTGATATGGCTCCGTTCTACAAGGCTTGGGAACCGGTGGGTGACGTCTTAGATTATATATAAACCTTTGGACGTCGCTAGGCCCTTGAAGTTGCTGCATTTCTTCAAAAATTATAATTTTTTTTGAGATCCTAAAGCAAACGACTCGGATCAGCTACGGATGGACGCTGGTGTTGGCATGGACGGGGGCAGCTTTCCTCAGCATTGCCACCATTTTCATGTTCCTGTCGGCCCACGCGCTGAAGGTATCGCAAAATTAGCGAGGGTCTAAAATGAATTCTTCCAGCGAGAAGATGACAAGGCTTTCGAGGCCAAGCACGGCGGATATGCCCTTTCGAGCTACTATCCTGATATGAAGACCGGCACCATTGTTCCGTCTTACAAGTAAGCTTTTCGCGCTTGTATTAAATATACTACTAAGTAAGCTAGCGGAGGTCCTTTAGCAATCAACTATAATAATTTTCTTGACGCGTCCGTCTGTCTGTCCGTCCGTCTGAAGCCGAATTCAACTCGAAGGGGAAAGGAGCTAGAGCTTAGCTCTCTTCGGATTCGGATAGAGCGTGGTCAGAAACCCCCAAACTGATAAAAAAATTATGAAAAAGTTTTAGTTTAAATTATTAAAATTAACTTTGAAAGTTTTTTCCTTAGGAAAAGGGGTGGGGGCGGAGGTTGTGGTGATTTTGGACATAGTGAGCCAGGTGGCGCGCGTTTCGTGGATGAAAATTTTCACGGGGGATTTCATTTCTTATTTTCTCTCATTCCATCCGGTCGGTCGTTATTTTTGTTTTTTAAGGGGATTTCGGCTAGGGGAGGTATCTTAAACCATCGGGAAAGTATTGAGGTAGTTTTTGAAGGGGATTTCAGCCATGGGGGGTATCTGAAGCCATCAGGAAGGTATTTAGGTAGTTTTTGAAGGGGATTTCAGCCATGGGGGGAATCTGAAGCCATCAGGAAGGTATTTAGGTAGTTTTTGAAGGGGATTTCAGCCATGGGGGGAATCTGAAGCCATCAGAAAGGTATGTAGGTAGTTTTTGAAGGGGATTTCAGCCATGGGGGGTATCTGAAGCCATCGGGAAGGTATTTAGGTAGTTTTTGAAGGGGATTTCAGCCATGGAGGGTATCTGAAGCCATCGGGAAGGTATTTAGGTAGTTTTTGAAGGGGATTTCAGCCATGGAGGGTATCTGAAGCCATCGGGAAGGTATTTAGGTAGTTTTTGAAGGGGATTTCAGCCATGGGGGGTATCTGAAGCCATCGGGAAGGTATTTAAGTAGTTTTTGAACGGGGTTTCAGCCATGGGGGGTATTGATGGAGGTAGGAAAGGATGTGGTGGAGTGGGACATGTAGGGTAGCCCGAAGGCCAGATGGTTGCAGTCGCGAAGCGACTGTAACCATCTGGTATGTAATACCGTAGTAGCTCTATATTTCCTTGCGATGAAGTCAATATAAACCGTTTTTAGCTACAACACCTACGGATACGGACAGCACTACCCTGGCTACTACCAACAACAGTACAACAACCAGTACTATGGCTATATGACATACGGACGATAGAGAATGGAAAACGAACCCCTGCCCTACGACAGACTACCACGAACACACCCCAGCTCATACTTAACATTGCCAGTATTTTGTGTAGAAATTTCTGTAAAACCTTCTCCTCCTATCCATGCCAAATGCTAGTTTTTGCCCCTAAACTCCCTGAAATCCGCCCCAGACCAAAATTCACAAGTCTGCCGAGGCTTGCCGACACCTTAAAACGTGACGTTTGAGCTGGAAAATTCATTTTTCTTAAATTTTTTCGTTCTCCTTCTCTCGCCCCCACTCCTCACTTTCTATGTGATACTGCTCAAACTGTAGCCGTAATTCTCTGCAGATCTGCCGTTTTCAGTTACCACCCCCTTCTTATCCGACCATTGCCTTTTTCAGATTTTTCTCCGATCCGGGTCCGCCATGTTTTGTTTTGGTTTTGTTTATACTATCACTCGTTCCCAACTCAACCGCATTTTCAGGAGTGTCTTTTTCAGTGCTTCTTTCCGTAATATTTCTATGTGCATAAAGTATATCCTAAAAAACCGGAGCGTGGGGGCAAAAAGAGGGCGTATCTTCACGTACCGCTTAAAAATGTGATATCAGAAGGCATTTAGCAGATTTTTGCCTTATTTAGAGCATATACAATTCTTGCAAAACCTTAGAACGTGAGACAAATGTTTGGGTCACCTTTTTTGACTTACAGAAAACAAGAGCCACGGGGCAGGTGAACCGGGAGATTGAATCCACCCAGGGATTTTCGGATTTCAGTATCGCTTACACGTACCATAATAACCCGCACAATGTTTAATCCTGATGATCATACGGTTTTTATCATAATGCATTCCTATAATGCTGCATGGGGCTTGGGGACTGTATTTTTCTGCGTAGCTGTTTATATGATCAACAGTCACCCGCTGGCCAGCAGGCACTATAAAATCGTGCAAATTAACTTGATGGTAAGGCTTTATTAAACTATAATTAATGAAACTAGTTCTCATATTTCTAGACATAGCTATTTGTATTTAACGACAATTTTCAGTTTGCCTGTCAATTCACGGATACGATAGCATCCATTTGCAAGGTGGTAATCCTGGCGCCGAAACTAGCTCTCCGCCTCCTGCAAATCAATGTTACCACATTCCAGTGCTGCACTATTGCCGTAAGCTCATATTGACTCCAAAATTATTGCCTTTAGCAAACATATGCCATTGGCATCCTTTACGTTTTCTTCTCATTTCTATACGCTGGCTTTGCGAAAGTGCGACTTACCCAACGGCATAATCACGAGATGCGGAATCGAATGGCAGTCAACCTGCTTCCATTTGGCGTTCTGCTGATTTTAATTTATCTCAGCGCGTGCATCTGGCACTTATATTTGGCTGGTTATGTACTCGCCGATGCTAGCAAGGTAGGAATCGTAGTCAATGCGTGGGTACCGTAGCAGTTACTCCACGTGGATTAGTGTCGCGTGTCATCGGAAGCGCGAAAATATCATATTTTCCTTATCAGATCTGCGAAGCCGATCCGATGCTATGCAATCAACCACCGACATTTCTCATTATAATACCGGGGTATATGTATGCATTCATATGCGGCTTGGCCTTCTGCATCATTTCCATATTCTTCGGATATCTATGGGTTCTCCGTGCCTTCGTGAAAGAAGCCAACAACATTCCGCTGTCGACGAAAACGCGACAAATGATGGATGTATTTGAGAGAGTATTCCATTTCCAGGTATTTTTTTCTTACTATGGTTTCATTCCCATTAAGCTGCTGGTCTTCGGCTTGCTATTTGGACTTCCGTACTGCACAAATATATTATTATTCTTTGGAGTGGGCGAAAATCAGTTCATCTTTATTGGTTCGTGGCTTGGATGATATCTTAAAGGGGCTCAGAAGTCAAAATTCGTGCGTGCGGGGATTGAACCTACGGGTCAAAAAACGAAAGGGTAACTGCCGAGAAGTGCCAAAAAAGTGATTTGATTGCGAAAAAACGTAAAATCTTTGAGAAAAACCGAATTCTTTTTAGGGCAAAAACGGCTTTTTGAGTGCGCGGCGATTACATGTCGTAATGGCTTGTAAGGCACCCAATCTCTCGATCTCGGTGATTCTCTGGACAATTTTCATAATTTAAAAGTCAGGAATGATCAGAATTCGTGGAGGATTCCAAAAATAGTATCAGAATTTTGAAATTCAAGCGTTTTCGCGTCCAAACAGAGGCAAAAGATCATGCGGCGCGGTCGCGTTGCGGCCGCATCTGGCTATTTGCCAGGAATCACAGCAGGGGGCCGTGGACCAGGTTTCGGAGCCCCTTTAAGTGTTTTTTAGTCGCGGGGCTATGTCCATTAACAGCTTGCTTGCATTCTTCCTCAAATAGCTTATCGATTATTGTTCCTATATTCCCGAGTACGTGTAAGCGGTTACGGCGGCAGATGCAGGGGAAGCGTGTGTCTGACGCGGAACGGATCGCCGCTGTATCCGGCCAAGTTTCTTCGATCACTAGGATGCAAATCAACCGAAAACATCACTCGATACGGGCTGTCGTGATTGCCCAGAAATGTTGCGAATAATAAATCAGCTTCGATACTGAAGTGGAAGCGAAAATACCATTGACACACTTGTAACGTTCAGCCCCGGATCAAGAAGCTGACATAACGAAGTTATAAAATACCCTGCGTTTTTTAATCCATTCGACGCGTTGGCTGCTTGTGTCTAATTCGGGACCTAATGTGCACGCCCAAAATTTGCGGCAATAAGGGCCTAAGCAAAGCGAAGCTCCATTCGTCAAGAAACTGTATGTGGCCAAAACTTTGTAGCCTTATAACTTTAAAACTAAATGGAATTTTAAAAAGAGCGATTTGCAACTTTGTAGAATGAGAAAAGGCGATTCCAATGCTAATAAGCACTACGAAAACTGAATTCAAAAAGTATCGAAACGAAAGCGGTTTTGGTTGGCGACTTTGTGAAAAGTGGGATTTCGGAGGGCTAACTTGCTGTCTTTGGTATCATTCGAACCGTAAAATTCTACTCTGCAATAATTGATATTGGGTTTTCAATATTAAGTCGGTTTGAAGGTAGGA